GAAAAAAAATTGTTACGTAATTCTAGGCGATACTTGTGACGCATTTGGATAGAGGCTTCGATAGAGGCCTCCTCCGTTCTCTGTTTCCGCTTGCTCATCTCGGATCTCCGTGGAACTATTGACAAAGTATTATCGAAATCCGGGAAGTCACAGTTACATTATTCAGACTTCAGCCGCTTCACATTTTTTTTTTTGGACCATCTATTTGTTTTAAGATTACGATCCGACCTTCTAACGGCCACAATTTATTATTCGGGAACGTTGACTGTTCGAAAGCAAGCACACAAATGTGTGCGTAGATCGGTGCGTACAACAGAAGTAAATCTCAGATGGCTGATAACTTCGCTCAAAGCCGTAATGATGTGATTATTTCCACTCTTACTCTGTTGTACGTATCTACAGTCGTGTTCTGTCTATGTTTGCAGCTAAGAGATGAAACAGATTGCTCTCCAAAATGTCCGGCTGCATATAGAATGTTTAGTTCGATGCCTTACCTCCGATCCCAACACCCCTCACAATCCTACTCGCGTGACATTGAGCATTCGGCCGCAATGTATTTTGTTTAGGTTTGTACTGATATGCTTAATTCGCAATTCGAGCAACTGTAACATTGTGTTGGATTGGAAGAAGCAGAACAACTGCGAGGCAAATGAAGAGAAAAAGAACCTGAACCTGTTCTTCTGCATTTCTTTGATGCGTCTTATCGTACCTGACCATTGCAGACCACGCCTGCTACCACCTGTAATCACATTTGCTCACTTCCAGTTCAGGCTTTTTAATTTCACTGAGGCACATTTTGTCGTGAATGGAGCTCTTTTTTCAAAAACTGTCCTATACCGGAAGGGAATCGAACCACTCGTGTTCACTCCGGAAGCAATGTATTGCCACTACACCATCGGTCCTTGCGCTCCAAGTTCAGCCTAGCAGCACATCTCCCGTGTATCTGTTTTTCAACGCAAGATATGCCTTTTTTCTTTCCTTTTTCTTTGTGGTGCCTTCTTGGCCTACTTTTCGCGAGTTTTCCGTGGCACATCTAGCTTCACAGAAAACTGTCAAAGGAAGAGGTCTTCGTCGTCGCGGAGTTGCTGTTCTAATATTTGTCCAATAATTTCGACTGCTTTCTGACTCCTTTGAAATCTCTGGAGCTATTCTTGTTAGTAGTGTATTTAAGTAAGTGGTATTTATCTCGTTGCACTACTAGTCCCTCCGGCATATGGGAGCATCTCAACAACACCATTCACACGGGATACCCTCACTGATACAGGTAGATTTGGTCTTTCCAAAAAACCTAAATCAAGCTCAGCAGCTGCTCCGCAGTTATTGCTGGAGTTCCAGGTACGTGCACATGCAATGTCGAAAACTTGCCTAGTAACGTACATGTAGGGCCTAACATAGAATCCGGCCTGATGGGACGCATTCCGGTATGCCTTAGCACAAATCACGGAGCATACCTGACTCAAAACCCCATCGCCTTGTCCAGCTGAAACGTTTGTTTGACGTTGAGCTGTTACCGTCCAGAGATATATTATCGTCATCCTCATCCCATCCGAGCACCTTCTTCACTTTTATGGATGTGTGAAGCGACCTCCGAGAAACTTCTGCGTTTCGTAAATTTCCCTGCAAACAGCTTATGCGCTTCCCACTGATATACCTGAATGTTATTTTTTGTTGACAATAGTAACAGGCCTAATTAGTATGTACTATCACAGTGCAGTGACAGATGATGCCCAGTAAACACACAAATTTAGCACTGGAAGTGAGTTCCCGAGCCTTTGGCGAATAGAGCAAGTTCTCGATGATATAGTCCGGAATATGGCTGTCGTCGTACGTGTCACCATCCTCAGCCTCCAGTAATGTCGGCATCCGTTGCATTGTGACTTTTAAGCCGTCATCCTCCTAAAAACCATGTGCTTATCACATATCACTGTTATGCTTATCAGTGTTCACTTTAGCATGACAATCACTGCGTTTTAGTTCAAAATACTTCGTAAAATTATGTCTTTCTGTCAATCAGTTCACTTCTACAATGCGCATTTTTTATTAGTCAACTTAGAGTCAAAACCCCCGTAGTATTTTGCTCTTGTTGTGAGACGGAGGCAGTATGAAAGTAGCCCAAGCGGTAACAAATGTCAGCAGCAATCATCCGCTGACAAGGTTGTCGACGACTCCTTCTGAGCATAGGCGGATCCAGAGCCGTTTCCTGAGGGGGGTGGGCGATTTCTCACCTCATCTTCCTTCACCGCTACAACCCTCCCCCTCCCCCTTCTCGAACGTTTCACTGCACCCTCCCACTCCCCGTTTATCACTACACTCAACGCCCCGCTGCTCTTCCCCCCTCCCCCTTGCTCCTTC